TGTTGAGTGTTACAGAATGGATCGTGCTAAGATTCTTCCCCAGCTGACTGGCGACAACTATGCCTATTGGATGGCGCGCACACGTACACACCTAAAAGCTCAAGGTGAAGCGGTGTGGCGGTCTGTGGTGTCAGGTTGGACTCATCCCACCAAACCCAGTACTAGCACTGACGGAACGAAAGTAGCTAAACTTGAAACTGAGTGGTCTCAAACCGAGATAACTAACGCTGGAAACAATGATAAGGCCTTAGATACGATTTACTCTCTTATGCATGAAAGTCAGTTTTCAATAGTTGCAGGAATTGCTTCAGCTAAAGGTGCTTGGGAAGCTCTTGAGTCAACTAACGAAGGAACTACGTCAGTGAAACAATCAAAGATGCAGCTGGTCTAGTCCGACTTCGAAGAGCTTCAGATGAATGAGGATGAGACTATCATAAACTTTCACACACGCGTACAAGAATGGGCAAATCGTGCGATGGTCCTTGGTGAACCGTTCTCGCAAGCGGAAGTTGTTAAAAAAATCCTGAGATCCTTACCACCGAGGTACAGAATGGAAGTCACGGCTATTCCGGAACACGACGGCTGGGAGAACAAAATTGTTACTCAATTAATGGGAAATCTTAAAACCTATGAAATGAAAATTTTAACTGATCACACGAAAACGAAAAAACAAAAAAATGTAGCTTTTGTCGCTGAAGGAAATAATGTTGTATTTGATTCAGACGAACCAGGCGATGATACAATTGTCTTTTTGACTAAATAGTTTTCTAAATTTTTGAAAAAGGTATCTAAAAATTCACGCAACAAAAATTCACAAAGAGGAGCAACATCGTCCAAAGTTGGTCCCATGACAAGTTCGTCAAACTTCAAACAGTCTGTCTCACGTCCAAGACAGCCCAAAGAAAAACCTAACAATAAAGGAATCAAGTGTTATGAATGTGAAGGCTTTGGACATGTACAAGCAGAGTGTGCCACCTACCTTAGACGCAAAAAGTCTATGTCAGCTGTCACCTGGAGTGACGAAGAGCCTGATGTTGAAACAACTGGATCTGATGTCGAAGAAATCTCGGGTAACTTTGTTGCATTTACTGCACGTGTCGCTGGCTGTTCGGAGTATGTTGAAGGAGCTGACTCAGAGGGTGGTGAATATGTCTCCTCGGAATACTTAGAACTAAATGCTTTATCTTTTGAAGTTGAGTTTAATAAGTTGTATCCCAAATGGGAAACCCTACGGAAAGCAAATCGTAAACTAGCTAGTGAGATAGAGATTGTAACAAATGCTAGCAAAGTATATCAAACTCAAATAGCTGATAGGAATGTTCTGCTTAAAGAAGCGGCCGACCGAGAAGAGAAACTAAAACAAGAAGTACAGACCCTGAAGCAGGAGCTAAGCACCTACAAACGGCCAATCCAAATGATGGACACCACTTCAACACTTGACAAAATCCTTGATTCTGGAAGAAAAACATCTGCAAAGTATGGTTTGGGTTTCATCGGAAGCAACGCAAAGGATAAAACGGTGTTCATCAAAGCACCTGGACCTAATCCAGAGGACATCCCTGAATCCTGCACAATGAAACACACCCATGGTATAATAAGATCAAATAAGCTACATTATAAACTCTATAACCCCGTATGTCATTATTGCAGGTTACGAGGTCATACCAGACCCGAATGCTACTACTTCTACAATGATCAAAGAATCGAGAAGTTCAGGCACAAGAACATCCAACCCTTTACAAAATAGATTTGGGTTAAAAAGACTGACTATATTTCGTTTGTCTCTTTTCACTCTAAAAGTGCAGGAAGAGAAGAGAAATGGTACTTTGACAACGGGTGTTCCTGTCACATGACAGGAAATGCCAAATTCTTAAGTAACGTAAATGCCAGCAAATGTGAAGTTACCTTTGGTGACGGTATTAAAGGTCAGGTCACTGGCATAGGCACGCTAAATGTAGTTGGCCTGCCAAAACTAGAAAAAGTATTGCTAGTCAGTGGACTTCACGCAAATCTCATAAGTATAAGTCAACTATGTGGCCAAAACTGGAACGTGTGCTTCACCAAAAATAACTGCAGTGTCCTGGACAAAACAAATCAATGCGTTATGGAAGGTAAAAGGTCAATTGACAATTACTATATTCTAACTAACATATCTTCTATTGCAGGACCAGCATAGATGAAGCTGAGCTATGGCACCAAAAACTGGGGTATTTGAGTTACATACTACTTGATAAACTAATGAAGATAGAAGGTGTTCGTGGTTTACCCAAGATGAAAGTCGAATCAACCATTTGTGTTTCCTGCCAAGCTAGGAAACAAACCAAATCATTTCATCCAGCTCAACATACCATAAACACGAGTCACTGCCTAGAACTGATCCACATGGATCTCATTGGTCCTACTCAAACAGAGAGTTTTGGAGGTAAGAAATGCATACTGGTATGTGTTGATGATTTTTCATGTCTTTCGTGGGTAATCTTTGTTAGGAAAAAATTCAAAGCACTTGAAGCCTTCAAAACACTGGGACTGATACTCCAAATGGAAAGAAATGAACCTATTATTCGAATTCAAAGTGATCACGGACAGGAATTCGACAACAACTTGTTCGATGCCTTTTGCAATCAATCAGGAATTACCCACAAGTATTCAACACCAAAGACACCTCAACAAAACGGAGTTGTTGAATGAAAAAACCTCACCATTCAAGAAATGTGACGAGTCCTGCTCAACGCCAAAGGATTACCTCAAAAATTTTGGACAGAAGCTGTAAACACCGCATGTCACATCCCCAACCGAATCTGTCTTCGGCCAGGAACAAGTCAAACACCGTATGAATTATGGAAAGAAATCCTGTTGCAAAATTTGAACCAAAAAGCGTTTCCGGTTATTCAACGAACAGCAGGGCATATCGTGTATACAACAAAGTGACCAAGACCATCATGGAGTCTACAAATGTTGTAATTGATTATCAACCGAATGATTTTGTTGAAGTTTCACAGCCTGAGTCAGTGACAGAACCTGATGCAAACCGTTATGAAACTCTTGATCCTGAAACTCCTGAACTAGATCCAGAGTCGCCTACGCCATCACCCACGCCATCTTAACCTGACCCAGAACCAAAATCAAAATCTGATACTGATCAAGACGACATTGACATTCCAACACGCATCCACAATAGATCATCCATCTTCAAAATTAATTTTTCCATCATCGTTGGTGATAAAGTTTACAGGTTCATTATTCTTTAATTCCTTTTGTTAATTCCTTGAATGTTTTTAGGGTGTCATTGTCTAATGTGTCTTGTGAAATACCTGCAAATATTCTTATGACTAAAGCTGAATTTTTATGTGTTTTTTTTTTTACCTAATTTGGTGCCCTCTACTTCAATATTCTTGCTTTCATCAAATCTTGACAATTCTTCATCTTTGCTAGTGTAATATTCTGCATCTGTGTTAGAATCTGTTTCAGGATCAGAAAATTTATATTTTGAATTAATGGTTCTGTTCCTACATGCTCTCACATTGCATCTATGTTTTTTTTTTTTTTTTTTTTTTTGGAGTGTGTCTCTCTATGATTGATTTGCCATCTATACCTTTTTTTTTTTTTTTATAATTTTCTCGCAATTAGTCCTTTTCATTGCCTACTACTCTAAATTGCGGATTGATTCTTTGTGTTTTGTTCTTGACTGTTTTCTATGCGTTTACTAAATGTTCTACTTGCGTTATTTTGAGTGCTTTTGAACTGATAAACCTATTTTTGCTTAGGTTATTTTATTGGTGTTTCTGTGTTGCATCTTTGAATTCTCTATGGTTACTTGAATGAAAATTTGATGCAATTTGTTTAATATTGGTATTCTCCCGTGTTACTATGTGAATGTGTTTTTGTTAGTCCGGTCATGACCGTATCTGTGTTTGCTTGTATACTTATTGTGCTAACTGTTATGAATTCTTGCTTGAAGTTGATTTATATGAATATGTGCCTGATTTTGCTCTATTCGAATCTCTAGCTGAATATGCTTTACCTGAATGTGCTTACTGTCTTATTTACCAATCTGTCTTTTTGAGTGACCCAATTGTGTGTTTTTTGTGTAATTTGCTACGAATTTGTGCCTGAATGCGTTTATTATTTGGTATGTTTTATCTACTTAATCTGCTCCAACTTGACTTGTGCTTATATGTTATCACGTTATGCTTTTCTCGTTTTGTTTATAATCTTCTTATGCAGGTTCAGTCCCATAGGGCACTTCGTCAGACTCAATCCACTAATATAGATGTTCACCTTTGTCAATTTATTGGCAAAAAGGGGGAGTATATACTAAAGGGGAGTAGAGTATGGTTGGAATAAGGGGGAGACTTATGATTTTTGGTTGGATTTGGTTGGATGCTTTGATTGGCTATTGACTAAACAGATCTGGGTAATGTCTTTTTTTTTTTTTTTTTTTTTTTTTTTTTTTTTTGGTTTATTATTTGAATGGATAATCTCTTGGCTATCAGTATTCGTATGGACTGTTGGGTTCTCTGGACTTCTCTATATTATTAGTCATATTTTGCTTATGGAGTAAATACAGGTTGATTGATGAGTTGATGGTTAGCGAAGTTTTATGGATGGAGCATGGTCCAAAGTGCCTTGGTAAATGTTTAATTTTAATTCATAGGATCTTTTGTTAAACACATATACTAATGGCTATTCTTATGAAATTATTTTACTTATCAATTTTTTGCTCAAAGTATATATGCATTTGTTTTTGCCAAATAAATTGCTAAAGGGAGAGATTGTAAGTGTAAAATTCAATACACATTAAAACCCTTTTTAGTGGCTAATTTATTTGTCAACATATATTAGTATTTAGTTTTAGATGTAACCTTGGACACTTGGACCGTATCCTATCACTTCTTCTAATGCTACAACGCAGGGTCAGTATGTATATGGTGGGAAATGGCGGTCAATGATTTATGTGGTAATTAGACCTATTATAAACGGATTATTGATTTATTATGGACATGAATTTTCTTTCAAGTGAATGGACATCATGATTTTGGGTGAAGTTGGTTGAAGGGAAAAGCAGTATAAAAAGGAAAGACTTTCCTATTTGGTTTTCACGCACTCCCATGCTATTTTAAGAGAGAAAATTTCCAAACACTCTATTTCCAAACAATTTACTAAATCAGGTTTCTATATTAATTGGAAAGTGAGATCTATCCTGCAACAGTCGGTTTGGACCTGGTTCAGCTGCATCAACACTTGAAATCAAAGATGGCATGCACGCTACAATCTTGAGTAGATATTAGGAAAGTGTTGTGGTAGTAACGGCTGGTAGCCTTTTTGTACTTACCTATTGTATAACTCCTTGGTGAACATCTATAGTGGATTGGGCAGACGTGGGTTGCCCCGTAGACGTAGGAGAAGGAACTCCGAACTGCGTAACAATTCTCTTGTGTTCTTATTTTATTTTATGCTTTCAATTTCTGTTATTTACATTTGATTAAATAATCTAATTAATGAACGAGATTGTCGCATAACATAAAATCAAGTAGAAATATAAGTTAAATCTTGCACTCAAGATTCACGGTGCAATTTCACATCACAACTATACTGCCATTACCAATAACTGCTCAAAGTTAGCACCTTCCAACGATTGCGCATCGGAGAGCCCAAAGATTTGATTTCCAGCAATTTTTTTACAATTGGATGGTTTGGCGCTGCTAAATGACAATCGTTATGCTATGGACCCGTGCCGTTAGGCACTGTTATCTCTTTTTTTTTTTTAAATTTCAGACCGCTTCGTTATAGGAGTATATGTTCATAATTTTATTACTATATGTTAATAACTGTACATTCGTAACTCCATAACTGTACGTTTATAACTCTATAACTGTACATTCATAACTCCATAACTGTACATTCATAACTCCATAACTGTAACTGTACATTCATAACTCCATAATTGTACATTCATAATTTTCGAAGCTCTATGTTCACAATTTTAGAGTTCTATGTTCATAATTTTATCACTATATGTTCATAATTGTAAGTTCATAATGTCAGAGCTCTTTGTTCATAATTCGATCAATAACTGTACATTCATAATTCCATAACTGTAGATTCATAATCTCATAACTGTAGATTCATAACTCCATAACTGTAGATTCATAACTCCATAACTGTACATTCATAACTCCATAACTATACATATATTCATAAGGGAAAATGGCACATTTCCCCCCTGAGTTATATACTTATAGCACTTTTCCCCCCTCAATTATTTAGGTAAGCACATTAGCCCCCTCAATTATTCTGAAAGTGGTAATTTTCCCCCCTGATATATTAAATTGACATTTCTACCCTTAAAGTAAACATTTTATTTATTTTACTTCTCCAACAAATTATTGCGTATACGTAGGGATGACCACGGTTCAATTCGAACTGAACCGGACACTAAGCAATCGAATTAAAAGTTCCGTTATGATTCAAATCTAGAACCCAATATTTGGATTTCAATTTATTAAAATTATGAATTAAAAAATTCGATCCTGAACCGTGAACCGGCGGTTCTGAATCCGGTTTGCGATTTTGTACTATCTTTATTTTAAAATTTTATTTTTTATTTTAAAATAGTCTAAATTCAACAATAAATGTGTTTTATTTTTTCAGTTCGGAACATGAACCGTCTGTTCCGGTTCGCGATTTTAATAAACTCTAAATATCGGGTTTCGATTCTAAATTGTAATTGGAATATTTCGGTTTGGTTGCTATAGTGTTTGTTTGGTTTAAACCAAATTATGGTCATAATTTGTTGGAGAAGAAAAATAAATGAAATATTTATTTTAAGGGTAAATACGTCCATTTAACATTTCAAGGGGAAAAACAGCCACTTCAATAATTCAGGGGGGAAAAGTACTATAAGTATATAACTCAGGGGTAAAAAGTGCCATTTTCCCTATTCATAATCTTCGAAGCTCTATATTCACAATTTTAAAGCTCAATGGTCATAATTTTATCACTATATGTTCATAATCGTAAGTTCATAATGTTAGAGCTCTGTGTTCATAATTTCATAATTGCACAACTGTATATTCATAACGGCATAACTGTACATTCATAATAATAATAAAAAATAACGCCATTAACGGCAAAACACGCGCGATTTTTTTTTTTATATAACTAAATGACGCGTTTTTTTTTTGAAAAACGACGTCGTTTTGGGCCCGTGTCCATAATTCATTGTGGACATGGGTCCAGGGCATAATTTGCCGCTACATGAAGAGGAAGGAGAAAGCTTGTAAAATTATAATTTTATCTCCATTTTTTACTAACAAACAGTCAAATTAATAAATGACTAAATATGATAAAATTACATAGTTGAGGATTTAATTGGGTAAAAATAGTATGTAGTCGAGGATCAAATTAATAATTATGACAGTTGATGGACCATTTTGGTTATTAACTCGGAAAAGAATTAATGTGCATGTATTTGGTCAAAATCCACAAAAAAGATGTAACAATAGGCTCCTGATTCTATAAAACTAATCATGTAAGGTTAAATTTTTAGAGCATTCTAACAAAAAACAAACTGCTCAGGCTTATCACAGCAGTGTCGCCTAGGTGTGGGCGTCCCAGTGGATGGGTTATTCCCAACCTTATTACCTCAATTTGAATACAAATCTACCTTACAAAGATGCAAAAATTCATGACATAGAATGAAGCAAACTCAATCCAAATGAAAAACTAAACCTAAAGATTAGCTCAGCCATATTTAACACTCATACTCAGACTATTACTAAATTTCAAAATACATAAACCTAAGAGATCCAGTTGTTATATCATGCACCACGATGCATGATCAATCATGCACCGCGTGTCAGACGCTACAATGTGTCTAAACCGACATTGTCTCATGTATTATTTTTATATTATCAAATGAAACTACAGTTATATCAAAATAATATTGTAGTTGTGGTGAAATGAAACTACAGTATATATAAAATGAAACTGAATAACATTTCACATATTTTTGAGTGTATATTATACAATGAAGCTGTAATTATATTGAAATGATCATCTAGTTGTGTTTTAATGAAATTATAGTGTATATAAAATAAAATTAAATAACATTTTCACATATTTGAGTGTATAAATATTGAATGAAAATGTAGTTATATCGAAATGAAACTGTAGTTGTGTTGAATTGAAATTGCAGTGTATACAAAATGAAACTGAAGAACAGAGTTATTTTTTGCGAAGATTCTGTTTCTTTTCATTAAATAAAACGATGTCGTTTTGACAGTGTCGGTTTAGACACACTGTAGTATCTAACACGCGGTGCATGATATAATTTGCCTAAGAGATCACCAATGACCATATTTGGTAAAACATTGGCCTATAGGCCAATTTTAGCTTATTTGACGACTATTAATTGTTTAATTTAGTTAAAATATTAATATAAGTGTTTAGTTAATTAGCTTTTTGCAACTCCAAAATACTAAAATTAAAAAAGCTACCCCAAACAACTTTTTCAATTAGCTATTTTAGAAAAGAAATTATACCAAATAACTAACAGCTAATAGCTAATTTACGAGTTAATTCCAGCAATGGTCCTCCGACTATTGCGATTTTTCAAAATTGGTCCTCGTCTTTTAATTTGAACGAAATAAACCATTGAGTATCAGATTTGTTCTTGGTCCTTCCGTTAAGTATCAATTAGTTACGTGTTAAGTAGAGGGATACAAGGGTCATTTTCTCCTATGGCTTTCTTCCACCAAAATCACCCACATCTTTTCTTCTGGGTTAAGGCTCCATTTCTAATTTTTTGCCTTATTCGACCTTGTGTTTTCATATTCTTGGACTTAGTTTGCCTTTCCTTTTTTGTTTTCACTATGCATTTACAGAAAATATGTCGATAAAATTTGAGCTGTCATTGGAAAGAGAATTCTGGTGTATAATTTGTGGGTACATTATAGTATGTCATTTTCGTAATTAGACCAGTATATACATATATGCACTTGAGCACTCTGTATAAAATGAGGAAAGTGTAAAAGGAAGGAAGGAGCAGCTCAGCTGCTAAATATATAGAAATTACAACCACGCTTAATTTTTTTCCAAAATCTTAAAGCTTAGTCATGATGAAAGACAACAATGCAAATGAATATCTCCATTTAATCTCTCGAGAATGCATCCAACTGGTGTATTTGATTGAGGCGAGTGGAAACTGGCCTGCAAAAAGGACATAGCCGAGACTCTATCTGAAGAGGAAATAGCAGGACTCAAGGATCTTTGTTTTCCATTAGAGTTAATGAAACATGATTGTCTGCTACTGTCTGTTTTTGGAGAATACAGGCAGATACTGACAACTAACAGTGGTACCATTGACTATGGAGAATTCATAGCAGCCATGCTCCATCTGAACAAAATCCAGAGAGAAGATCACATGTTTACTGCATTTTCCTATTTTGACAAAGATGGAAGTGGATACATTACACAAGACGAGCTTCAACAAGCATGCGAAAAGTTTGGTTTGAGCGACCCATTGAAGAAATTTTAAACGAAGTTGATACGGATAATGTACGTATGCTCTGCTTATCATACTGCATCCTCCTGTATATTGCAACATATATGAACCGCTTCAACAATCATGCGAAAAGCCATACGAGGAAATGACGCTTGTACCCCTCCTTAACACCTAACTAACTGATACTTAGCAGAAACACCAATATAATGCTGGAACAAATCTGATAGTCAATGGTTTATTTCGTCCAAATTAAAAGACGAGGACCAATTTTGGAAAATTGTAATAGTCGGAGGACCATTGCTAGAATTAACTCATATAATATTTGATGTTCTAATTTAAATAATTATATATTGATTCATATATTCTTAATATATTACAACAAATTCATTCCATGCATCGCACGGGTGCAAATACTAGTTGTGTTTAATACAAAGTTATGGCATTGGTGATTTTTTATTTTTTTATTATTATTATTATTATTTTTTGGTCAAGTAGACTCTTAAATCTAGCT